ACGCTGGCTCAAATAGAAATGTGGCCTTTCAGGGCTATCAGTGCCCCTTATTACCTAGTGGAAGATAAAGCCACTTACCTTGTATTCATTTTTACCCCAACGGAACTTCCACACCTCATGGGCCCATTAGAATTTGACAGTCCTGCGTGGCAGCGAAGGACTGGCAGACACAAATCTTACACATATGCCCTCTGCTCACACCTGCTTCACCATTCCTTCCGGCTTTACTTATAGAACATTAATTCAAAGGTAAAGTCATTTAGAATTTCAAGAAGGCAATGGAGGAGCCTTAGACCTAATGCTGGGAGCTGCTAAGCATGGGGCCTTGTATGATTGGACAGATGGTCTGCCCGTGAGCTGGCTCTCGCTGTCAAGATGTAGCTAATTCAGAGACAGGTGGCTTGAGGAGAGCAGTAGGAAGTGGGGCACGGTACTGTATGCCTGCCCTCCTCAACATTTGCTGGAGGTGAAAGTCAAGCCTGGCCTGGAGAACAAATTGTAGGGCATTGTGAGGGAACGAGGCAGACCCGCCCTGTCTCTCTGCTGTGTGCTGAGTGCTCTGAGGCTCCCACGTGCAGATACTGGTAGCCTCTCATCTTTTCTTCTCCAGAAATGGCTAAGCTCTGCAGAACCACCTGAGATTCTTGACAGTTTGTAACTGGAGTGGACTTTGTAGATTAAATCAACTACAGTCGGTTCAGTTTAACTATATAAACAATAATTCAACCTGTTTTAACTAAATAAAGAGGTTTATTTGTTAATATAATGTTAAGCTCAGAAGCAGCTTAGCTTCACATGTGCTGTGGTTTAATGGGTGACAAATGTCACCAAGAGCCTAGTTTCCTTTTGCTTTTTTCTCGCTTCCCTGTGGAGTCAGCCACATTCTCAGTCTGGTTCCCTTTCATGCTGGCAAGATGGCTGCCAGCAATCTCACGTGACTTGCTTCTTCACCAGTGTCCACTGAGAGAGAAACTGTTTCTTTGTTCTATCAGAAGAGTAAGAAAGCTTTCTCCTTACTCTTAGTAAAGCTCCCCAAATGAGTCAGGAACCCATCGTCCACCACCTGATCACATATCCAGTGAGTGCAGCCCTGCTGACCAGTTTAGGGTGAAACATTGCTCCCTTTCCAAGCCCAGAGTGGATTCAGCTTCTGCAGAGAACAGACACTGCCTAGAAGAATGGGGAAGTTGGGGGTACAGGAACTAAACGGGAATGATGGCCTAGAAAGGTGGGAATAGACTCTGAGGAGACCACCGTGACACTCACTTCTGAGATCCTATGTCAGCTCTTAGAGCTGGCAGCAAGACCCAGCAGAAAGCCTAAATGCGTG